GATTACTACCGAAAAATGGCGGTTTGTTTTTTCTTTTTTTGTTATAGGCAAATAGGCGAAGTTCCAGTGCATCAAGAACCGCTATCCGTTAGGACTGTTTTAGTGCCTCCTTTCTACAAACCAAGGACTCCTAATCGGCCTGGCTTTACTCGAAGGTTCGGCTAGCGCGACACATTTCGATGACACACATTCCAGAGAGCCAAAACCATCATAAACTTTAAGTAGCACTCGGAAGAAAGGGCCATCGGCTACTTTTCCACTGGTTGATTCCGGTTGACAAAGTGCTGTTTTTCTGGGCGTTTTTTAGTACTATTAACTCTTTTGTGTTGATCAGCTGTAATTCACTACTGCATCTTCTGTTCGCCAACGTCTTGGCGATCTTGACGTTCTTTTCGTCTTCTGAAGGGATTAGCAACTCAGCGATTAATTTTTGGTATATTTTTGTATTGTTTAAAGTTGAAACGTAGGGCCGGAGAGGGAGGGGAGATGGACCGAGATGAGGGGAGAGAAAAAGTAACTTTTTTCTTCTGATCTTAGAAGTATTGAAAAAAAAGGAGCTGTGCAACACGGCTTTACTAATAGTTTTCATTGATTATGCGTTTTTTAAGAAAATCCGACGAATGGAAACAGCAGCTGGCAATCTGTACAAGGAGAGACTAGTTCGCGGTTTCTGCCATCTGTATGCAGGACAGGTAAGCTTGCAGTTTGCAAATCTGTGTTCACATAGTTCCACGTATTAACGCTTTCGAATTCCGGCTATATATTGGAAGTTTTGATGCATTGTAAGGTCTTAGATGTTATTGAGGGGCACGGTAGGTTGAGCACAGATACAGCAAACCCTGCGAATTCTGAACTGCCCCTTTCCCTCGAACGCACTGTAAACAAAACTGTTGATAATAATAGAAATGATAATATGAGTAATATCAATAATGGTGTTAGTGATAAATAATAATATTAATAGTAATATTAATCTATGTAGAGTTATCTGATTGATATTTCCAATCCTATTCTTCGCTTTACTAAGAAAACATAAAATATACGAAATTCGAAAAAATCCAGGCCTTTACTGGTAGCGAAAAGCCCTGGATTAGTGGTTGTTAATCCTACACCATCCAATTTTTCAATTTTTTTTCTCTTTATAAAGGAAAGTTAGCAAGTAGCAACTTATAACAATAGAGCCAAAATTTCGCTTTTTTGTTAAAATCTTCGGGCCACTGGCTGGGAGTCTTTTTTATGTGGAGTGCAATAGGATTATAAGATATGACTGTTTGTTAAGACTGTTTAATAAGACTCTTAGGCTATAAGACTATCATAAGGCCATTTATTTTGATATTTTGATTATTTGTAAAAGCGCGCCATCGATTATGAGAAACGGGTAAAAACTAACGATAATAGTGATAATAATATAATGGTGACAATAATAACATTAATAATAAAAGCTGCCAGAAAAGCTTTTTTTGTAAATGGAAAATTATAATTTGATTCCGAATTTACGAAGGAAACAATTCTGGTCGGTTTTTTTGTCTCGTAAGAATGTCATTAGCGGTTTCTTATTTCAGTGGAAAATTAGGCATTTATTTCATGTCAGGAAGTTAAACTGTTTTAGCTTGCTTCTCAAACATCTCCCGGAAAGGCGGGAATCGGCGAAAGCTTTCGTTTTTTTTTTTTTTTATTTGACTCGATTTGCCTCATCGATTTTAAGGATTTTTTTTTAGGACAAGCCAGAATTCCTTACATAAATGTTGTACATTACTTATTTGTGTTTTAGGAGGCTGTCGCTGTCGGGATTTGTGCAGCAAAAGATGATGACGATGCAATTATTACCTCATATCGATGCCATGCATGGACCTACTTGACTGGATCAACCATCGTGCAGATCTTATCCGAATTGACCGGTTTGTACCAAATTATAGTTAATTCTCATAGTGGTTTAACAATGAAATGAACGTTCGAATAGCCGGCGGACTGATTACGAGGCAGTGAAGCACTAGTCTGAACAGCTGAAAAAATTGCCAGCTGCATAGTCGGGAAAACAAATTTCAAACTACAACTGTTCCAAATATCCTAGCTGCATAGACAGAAAAACAAATTCCAAACCACAACTGTTCCAAAATCAACGTCAGTACTAGCGAATATTGATGTAATATTGATATTATTATCTGTATGATACCATTTGTTTCATTATCGCTGCGTGATATTATTATCGTTATTGCTTTAATTATTCATAATTACGATTACTATCAGCAGTGCGGAATTATAGAACCCATTTCTCATAAACACGTGGAATTTACGTGCTTTGTGCCTCAGTAAGGCTACAAGTTTTTTCAGCGCGAAGCTGTTGATGTTACTAGTGGTGCAGTTGCTAGTTGCTTTGAACATTACTTCACTGCCACAACTCATGA